AGAGACAGCTGCCCTGGACATAGTTCCTTCATTCAGAGTTGGGCATAGTTCTCATTTCTACCTGGTAGAAAAGACCGTGGGATTTGCAACCTCAGTGGAAGTGAACTGAACACCCCGAGGGTCCCCCTGAGCACCCTGTCCTGCTCTGCTCCCATTTCTCCAGTCACTCAGCTGGCCAAGACACCTCTGAGAAGAATTCATGACTGCGCTGAGGGAACTCTGTGTCTCCAGAAGAGAGCATGTTATCTGCCTGTCTAGAAAGAGTTGTACAATGCCCTGGGACAAAGTTCTTCCTGGGCACGGGCTCTGGAGCAGCCACATTCACTTAAGGGCTTAGAAAGAAAGAACAGGGAAGCTTCAATGCCGTGAACAGAATTCTACACACATTCTGAAAACACGAAGAAAGACCCCAAAGGGGCAAGTAAATAAATAGTAGATACTTAAGTCTAATAGAATAACCCAATCAAGATGAGGCCAATGGGGGCTGGAGAGATGGCTCAGTGGTTAAGAGCATTGCCTACTCTTCCAAAGGTCCTGAGTTCAATTCCCGGCAACCACATGGTGGCTCACAACCATCTGGAATGAGGTCTGGTGCCCTCTTCTGGCCTGCAGGCATACACACAGACAGAATATTGTATACATAATAAATAAATAAATATATAAAAAAAAAGATGAGGCCAATGCAAACCTGATTTCATCTAGCCTTGGGGAAGGTAGGATCTCACTCAGTGCAATGTGGTGGTTTAAAAAAAAAAAAAAGGCCCCTAAAGGGAGTAGCACTATTAGGTGGGGTTTTGTTGGAGTGGGTGTGGCCTTTTAGAAAGAAGTGTGTCACTGTGGAAGCGGGCTTTGAGGTCTCATATATGCTCAAGCCACATACAGTGTCTCAGACCACTTCCTGTTTACTGCTGGTCAAGATGAAAGAACTCTCAGCTCCTTCTCCCCCTCCAGCTCTGTCCACAGGATGCCTGCTTCCCCCATGATGATAATGGACTAAACCTCTGAACTGTAAGTGAGCCACCACAGGTAAATGGTGCCTCTTCACAGCAATAGAAACCATAACTAAGACACTCAGCACCATTATTTTCTCTGCAGAGAGAAGTTGTAACTTCAAATGGACAGTTTGGAAAATAAGCAAGTGATGCCAGCCCTTCAGTGTGGTGGTAATCTCCGCAGCTTCCTAGACATTTCTAGACCATGCGTCATCTAACTTTGAGACAGCACTGCGCAATTAAAAGGGGAGCTTTTAACAAGAGGATGATATTATCAGCCATCTCTTTCTCTTGACTATGCACTTAAAAAGGAAGCTGCGTAGAACTGTATGGAGCAAGAACATTTTCATCTGTCGCCAACTTCTAGTCACCCCGACCCACACAAAGGCACATGCTGACTTCCAAAAGAGAGGTAATTCAGTTTTAATACTAAGGGTGTGTCTTTAAAATCACCCACCAGTGGCAGGTACAGGGACACAGGATGCATCCTTTCCCTTTCTTATTCTGACCTCAAAGCTTACTGGGAAAGCCCAGCTTGCTGCCAGCTGACTCAAGCAGATGAATAAACTCCTTTGTTTAAAAGGGAGACTCCAGTTAATTTGACTTGTAAATAATGAGTATGAGCGAACTGGGCCACGGGCACAGACCAAGGCCTTTGTGCTCTGCAGATAAAATGTAAAAGGTTGAAGCTGCTGAAGTGATTTAGCTTAGAATTGCCAGTCCCCACCCTGGACATCTCTAACCAGGAGCCAGTGCAGTGACTAGACTGGACTACGCCATCCAGCAGGACAGCTCACTGTAGACAAGCTTGCGACTCTGTCTATGGAACTCGCATTCTTCTCCGTGCAGCTTGAGAATCAGTAAATACGGACTGATTTGATTTGGATATATTCTCTGAAAGCCGGAGGCCCAACTTGTAAACATTTCCATATGCCCTTGTTCAGTTCTTCGGGTTGCAGCTTAAACCTTGATTTTTATAATATTAAACTCATTAAACAGTCACAAATCCGTTCTCAATTCTAAAAGAAAATATTGGCAACTGCAGATGGCTGTAATTGAAAATAGACGTTTGTCATGGGCTGAAGAGTTAAACCAGCTTGAATGCTATCTAATAAAATCCAGCAAGTTCCAGGGCCGAGAAATAATTGCATTCCAAGGACTTCCAGTCCTTCTATCACTTGAAACTTTCATTTGCTCTATAAAACTTTATGATCAAAGCCAAGTCTTTGTGATTAAAACTAGGTCTTGGCCAGAAAGACAGACATCCGTAGAGCTGGAAAGCCTCTTTCCACTTGTAGAGTTAGAACCCTAGAGAGATGCAGGAAATACTAGTGGGGGTGTCAGACTCCCTTCCAGAAGAGGGTCGGCGCTGAGGGAGGAGACAGTTCCTGGAGACAATCTGGTTTCCAGAGAGCACCTCCTCATGCAAGGCTACATAACCCACAGGCGATGTCAGCATTCCAATCCTTCGCCCTAAAGTCTCATCACTAGGTTCCAGTTTTGACTTTCCCACTCTCTAGCTAGGTGACCGTGGTAAGACATGCTTAGGCTAAGTCTCAGTCGCTCCGTCTGTAAGATTGGAATAATTATAAGGAGGCTGTTGGGATTAAGTGAAGCAATTCATTTAAAAGCTCTCTGCCAGAGAGGACTCATGGCTGCTGTGTGTTACACTGTGAGCAAATCTTCTAGCCCTCCAGTTTGGTGACCCCAAGACTGGAGTAATAAGGTCCAGAAGGCTGGCAGAGAATGACCCTTGGCCTGCCGCTAGCATGGTGCCCACACTTCACCTCACCTGTCACCCCATCACTTCCTGTCAGTGCTTGAGAGTTGCCTATTATTCATATCTTTCCAAGGGTCAGCCCTTTTCTTAGTACAAACATAACTATTCTAAGAGGGAAGGAAATACACTGGGTGCAATTGATCCCATTGTTTCTACTGAGCCATGAGCCGGGAGACGGAATGAAGAGAAAGAGCAATGTGGTTGGAGGGGGAAGAAGAGGAAGAAACCATCCTGAGTCTGAGGTTGCCCAGGAGAGAAGTCTGGGTGTGAGTGGGGGATGAGCAGAGAGGGGATGGCAGATGGGAGAGTCGCCAGGGATTTGGGCAGGAGGAAGGGATAACCGGGAGACAGAAAGTAGCTGAGGAGAAATACCATTGGTGGATTTTGTGTCTAATAGCAGCCTCTCATGAAGCCACCCTGTATCATACATTTAGCAAGAGCTTAACACTGCACAAGAAAATATGAAAAAACATGGCTCTCATGTGCTGGGCTGTCCCCTCGGCCCATCGGACTGTAATGACTTCAGTGAGGCTGTCAGGCAAAACATGTTCCTGATAGGATTTTTCCCATGCCAGTGAACATCCACTACCTCCATTGGACTTATTAACTAACACAAAAGTAGATCCAAAGTTCTGCCTGTATTTTGTCCTCAATTTGGCTATGGCCACAAACCTCTTCTGCTATGAGGAAGAGGTGCCAGTTTTAAGCACGCATCCTGCCATTTGGGAAGCATCGCCATTTATAAAACCATCCAGACCACAGCTTTGGGTCTTTGCCTGAACTGGTACATACAACCGCATGCTCCGACACTGGGAAGTCCCTCTTCCTCCTGCCACCTGCCTGCGTTCCAGTTAGGGCTGTCTCCTTTAGTGCCAAGCCCATCCTGTGGAAGCTGGAGAGGGTACTCCAGTGCATCGGGGCCCCCAGAACAAGCGCTTTCTCACTAATGGTTACTGCCTCGGGAAGGCTAACACTTCGAAAGAAAGCTAATCACGGGAATTAAACACAGCTTGTTTCTTTTTGAAGTAGATTTTTTTTTCCTGCCTCAAGGAGGGTGATTTACAGACACATTTGTCTCTCTTTAGAGAAAATTAACTCCAGTTGGCGTTCTGGGCGGAGATGAAGAGAAGAAAGGGGGAAGAGACTTCTCCCTCGTTGTTCACACCCACAGCGGACCCACATTGCCCTCCCTGCCATGCCCTGCCAGTGGGATGTGGGTGGGTCCTCGCACATGCTGATGCATATAAAGCAAATCAGCCGGACTGCTAATATCAGCTTCAAGGCTCCTTTATCTTTTAGGTGAAACAAATGCTTTTTAAAAATGCATTTGGCTGGGAATGAAGCACAGCGGTAGAGGGCTGGCTTATCATGCTTAAAGTCATGGGTTAGATTTACACACACACAGAGAGAGAGAGAGAGAGAGAGAGAGAGAGAGAGAGAGAGAGAGAGAGAGAGAGGGAAAGAGTGTGAGAGAGAGAGAGAGAGAGCAGAGAAAGAAACTCTACATAATAGAACAGGCAATGCTATAGACATACACTGAGCAAGCAGAGCTTTTATGAGCACCTTTTGGCCTGGTCTATCTGCCTTGGGCCATGTGCTTTGAACCCTAATGGAGGCATCATGTGCTGGGTGCTCATTACAGCCAGCCACTATTTGAAATATCTAAGGAGGATTATATAATTAAACATTCAAACATCACTATGTAGTAAGTGCTATTATCATTTCCAGACTCTCTCAGACCAATGCAGCCTAAAACCCCTGGACGGCTGCTGCGGCCCCAGACCCCTGGACAGCTGCTGCGGCCCCAGACCTCTGGATGGCTGCTGTGGCCCCAGACCTCTGGACGGCTGCTGTGGCCCCTTGTGCAGGCTGCTTTCATTCCTGGCCCATAAATGTAAAAGGTGCTCTACCCCACATAACATGCAATGGGAAGCAGAAAAACATTTCTTGAGTTTATCCATTATTTTTCAGGACTGAATCTACAAATTTGCTGCTGTTGTTTGTTGCAACTCCCTGAGAAGACCAAATGAACATTTGGAAAAGGAAGGGCTTTCCTGAGCAGTTTGGTGAAGGGTTGGAAAGAGGCAGGGAGGGTTGGTGGTATGTTCAATCTGAAGGCACACAGAGATGCCGAAAAAGTGAATCTGGGTGACTGCCACTGAACTTTTGGCTTTTATTGTTCTTGTTGCTGTTGTTTTGTTTTTGTTTGTTTGTTTGTTTTTTGAGACAGGGTTTCTCTGTGTAACCACCCTAGAAGTCCTGGAACTATCTGTAGACCAGACTGGCCTTGAACTCACAGAGATCTACCTGCTTCTGCCCCACCCCCACCTCCCCACGTGCTGTGATTAAAGGCGTGCGCTACCCATGCCGGCTGCCACTGAATTTTTAATAAATAAAACAAAACAGCCATGGAAATTGATTTCAAAACTAAGCAACCCCTGGGATTGCAAGGTAAAAAAAACAAAGACTCAGAGAGATTAACACCTTTCCTGGAAACATCCACCAAAACCCAGCTCTCCAATTAGCGGCCCAGAATTCCTCTACTTTATTCCAGCCCAGAACTATTATTATCAGCCCAGAATTCTCCTCTCCCTTGTGGCCTTAGAAGACAAACAAAACAGAGCATGAGAGACCGGAGAAGTGGGGCATCGCTGCTTGGCACTCTTCTTTCTTCAAAGGCATGTAACTTCTAGAGTAGGCATGTCCATCTTGTAGTTGTAGGGCTGCATGTAGCCAAACACAGAATCATAAACATACTTAACACATGAGGTCTCACGTTTGTCTTTTTGTTTTGTTTTGTTTTGTTTCACTCTCAACTGTGAACTCTGAGGCTGACATAGCATCATCACAATGTCAGAAGGTTGGACAGGCGTGGACAGATCCACGGTGCTCTTCTGAAGCTGAGGCCACATCATGGCTGCTGCCTCTCTGCCATGGTTCTCGCCCTCCTGCTCATCATCCTTTATCACATGGAAGGCGCGGGTTTCTCTAAGAGTATTCATCCTGGCAGCAAAGAATACATTTTTTTTTCTTTTCCCACACACATTTGGAAATGGCATGCATGAAACCACCAGGCACAAATCAAATAGACAAGTCAGAAATTTCCTCCAGCGTTTGGCAGCTTTGCCGAGCATCATGGTTCACGACATCACCACATTATTTGTCAGACGAGGGATGCCACCCTGAGCAGACCAGTCCCCTGCTAGAACGGGGAAATGTGTGGCTTCCGGCAGAACTAGGAAATGACGAGGGTGTCACTTTCTGCTCCTTTCCCAACTTGCCTCTAAAATTGCTCAGAAGGTGAGGAGCAGCAGAAAACAAACTGTGATTGGATACTGAACAACTGAGTATGAAAAACAAAAACCAAACTCGGTGGAAATGACTAAACCTTTCTCTCTGGCAGCTTAGAAAGAGAAGACAGGCTCAAATTCCTGGATCCACGCTCGCCGTTCCCTAGGAATTTAGCCTGTGTTTCTCTTCCACTCCCTTCATATGCACATCTGTGGACCACTTGCCTGTCATCCTCCCAGCCCTTCCTTTGGCACCATCCCCTGGACCTTTCTGTAAACATCACTCATTCCAGAGTTAAACCTTAGGGCTCAGAGGCTGACTGCCCCAGCACGATCCTTCCTCCCCAGGAGCATCAAGGTAAACCTTGGTCACTGCTCTTCAGTCCATCCCTCCAGCCCAAGTTATTGGTTCCCAAATAGAGTAGGACCTAAAGCAACCCTCAGATTCAGGAGCATGGATAGACTTGCCCCGGGCAGTAGACATGCACCAGGGTGGAACACATGGAAAGCACTTGCTTGAGAATGACTGAGATAAGAACAAAGCTCCAGGGACAGAGCAGCAGAGAGTGAGCGACTATGTCCTGATGAAAGAAACAGCGAAGCCTTTGCTGGTCCTGGTAACGACAGAGTCATTTTAAAGCCTTTAGTGACATAAAGTGGGATTGCACATAGGACAACACAATGCTGCTAGGAACCTTGCTCCTTGGTGTGGGAGAAGGTGCACACAGACATCCGTGGAGGGAAGAATCAAAGAAGAGTCACAGAGTCCTAGCAGCAAGAACTCCAGGGCTCCAGTCTCAGCTTTTCAGGGCCACTTTCCATTGAAATGAGCCAGAGTCCCTAGAAAAATGACTGATCCAGGACCAGCGCAGGTGATGTGCAGGGCACTTCCGAGGCAAATACCTGTGATAGAGCAGGAAATGCTCAAAAATGACCCAACAGCCAGCCTGAGGGGCCTTCCCAAGAGCAGAATCAGAATAAGCATAAAAACAAAAGTAATCAGTTTTGGTAGATGAACCAGAAATACCAAAGTTGGGGGTCCACCGGGATATACAAGAACCTAGAGAGGAGACAGCGGGGATCGGCTCTGTAGAAGAACGTGGGATGATGCCCGTACAAAAGCAGATGAGAAAATTGTCATTTCATAACCTGCAGGCCAAAAGAGACACGGTTCATGGATGGATCTAAAACTGCAGAGAGACAGGCTTGAGGGAAGAGCGGTTCGTGGGCTCGCGGGTTACTTGTGAATTACAAGAAGTCTAGCTGATACCACCTTAACCGAGTGATCAAGTTCGGTCCCACCATAGGAACAAAGTGTCGTGGTGTTGTTCCTGGTGGAACGCCTAGGAAAGCACACAGGCTCGCCCAGATGGAATCCTCACTGAGTAAGAACACCAAGGGGAGAGTAAGACACGTTCCCAATATGGGATGTACTACAGGCACCTGGTCCCCACTTCAAATCATTGCTATGAATGACAATAGAGATGGGCAGAAAATCGGAACATAGTAACCTGCTGCACCCATCCCAATAGGTGACCCTTCAATGAACCCCGGGTGAAAAAACATTGTTACAGAGTATATTTGGAGGATAACTGGGAAATTGGAAGAGTGGACTGACTCAACACACACACACACACAAATACGTTTGCTGTAACTGTCATCATATAGTCCAGTCTTGGTAATATTGGAGGTGCCCAAGAAAATAAGACAGCAACTTACCTCCCCGGTGACATAAAAGTTATTCTTCGCATACTCGGGGAATAACTGGAAAAACTGAACCAGTGCACTGTGAAAGAAAGGACATTCAGATTGACTGGGGAAATGAGTCAGGGCAGACTGGCTGCCATGCCTCAAAGGCTGGGCGCATGCGCTGTTTGCCATTATGCACCAGCTGGGTGCATGCGCCCTGTTTGGAAGGCACTAGCGTTGGGTTGTGCACTCCTCTGGTATCTGGGGGTTTTTAGTCCCGAGTGGGTAATATTGCCTTCCCCATGGATGGCTAGGCAAAGCAAATAGGTGGGCTGATGTTGCCATGCTCAGAAGTATGAACGCTGGACATCAACATTAGAAAGTTCTAAACCTGTGATTGCCACTTTGGGTCATCTAGCTGCTGGGGGGTTCTTATGTCCATGACACCAGCTTCTTACATATTGTTTGGCAAGTTTCATTTAAACCTCAATACTCTGTTAGGCCAGATTTGTGGGAAGGCAATAGAAAGTTCAGTTTCTTATCAACCAACTGTTACAGGCCATGCAGACTATTTCTACAGGAGCCCCCAGAACTCCAGTGTTCTAAGAACACCAAAGCTGGGAAAATAGAAGGGAGAGGAGGAGGGAGGGAGGAAAAGGAAGCAACCAGAATTCCATGGCCACTTGAGTGAGCCATGCTGAAATAAAATAGGCTGGTGGGGGTATTTCCCTACAAGGAAGAGAAGACTAGCTGGCTTCTAAACGTCTTTACCAAAGTCTTCTCCAAAAAGAGACAACAGAAACACACAGACACACACACATACACACACACACACACACACAAAACTCAGGCACACTAGGAATGCCTTGACCTGGCGGCAAGGCCTAAGAGGCCAGGCAGGGTTTCGGGTCCCAGCTTCCTGCTGAGGGACTAAAAGCCATGAACCTTCCAGGGAAGATGAAAGGCAAGAAGTCTCTGAAAAGCCAGGAGTGGGAGAGAGTTCAAGGGTGACAGAAAGAAAAACTCAGTCATTATGACCACCATGATCCCTGCTAGACTGAACTTTCAAAGGCCCCATAAAAATCCACTGTGGGGCGGTTCGGTGCATTCTCTACTTGTTATTTATAGGTTATTTATAGTGACTTTGAGGAACTAAATTTGGGAGGCTGCATCTTGCTAGCTTCCACGTTAGGGCTGGCAGTGAACTGGCTTTAGAACAAGGGTAAAAATAGGAGCTCATTCTCCACCCTTCCCTCAGGAACCTTCAGCCTAAAAACCACTTCCCTTCCTCTCTTCCTGCTCATTGACTGCGGTAAATTTCAAGTGTCCTGCTTTAACTTGTAGCTTAATTCCTTGGTATTTGATGGGGCATTGTTTGGGCTGATAGGTTTAGTAAATAAAAAAAAAATCAAGGCGCCCAATCAAAATTGAAGTTCAGATAAATAATCAATAATGCTTTAGAATAAGGATGTCCAAATTTTATCTATGATATACCTCATGTGTGTGTCTGTATGTGTGTCTGTGTGTGTGTGTGTGTGTGAGAGAGAGACAGAGAGAGAGAGAGAGAGAGAGAGAGAGAGAGAGAGGTCTGTGCCGGCTGTCTTTTTTAATACTCTCCATCATTGAAAAATATTTATTTTATTTTATTTTTTGAAAGATTTATATATAAAGAAATATTCATTGTTTATCTGACTTTCCAGTTCAACTGCGTCTTTTGTGCTGTATCTGGCAAGCTAAATTGACAGAGATAATCTCCCACGTTACTTCTATCTGGAAAGTACTAGGCATAGTAGCCGAGGCTTTGAAAGCCAGAGTTTCCTCAAAGAAACTATTACCATTTTATTCGCACAGTTCGGGTCTTTCCATGAACTGCCTGTCTTTCCAGAGTCTTTGCTAAGTGGTTCTTCCTCAGCAGTAAATTAGAAAAATGGCAAATTCAGTACCCAGAGCCACACACAGTCTTTGCTAATTTAACTGCACTTGAGTCAAGCACTGATCCGATGACATGAGGAGGTTCTGCTTAAACTAAAATCAGGACTCACATCGGCATGCCTTTCAAAGCTCAGCATGATGCTGGTGTGGATAAGGCACAAATGTGTGTGTGTGTGTGTGTGTGTGAGAGAGAGAGAGAGAGAGAGAGAGATTCGTTTAGGTGTGAATGTACCTGGCACAGGAATCTCGTTATCATCAGGTAGGGACTCTGTTGGAGATCCCTGATGGAACTGTGCCAAGGACTTCCCTGATAAACAGAATTTTAATGGAAAGCTCTTTGGTTGCAGAATGCTGCATTTTTGAAAGAAGGAATGGCTGGAAGAACACTGCTCCTCAGAGGATGTTTTGGAAAAGCCCTTCGGTGTATGTAGGGCAGAGAAGGTGCTGGAATGACAATGAGCGGCAGTCGGTGGCTGGAAGAGAATCTGGCCAGTTCTGGTTGAGCAGAAGCAGTTTGAACACAAGAGACATTCACAGGGCTCCAGACTCGAGCAGGAACTCCACACTGTAATGGTTTGAATCTGAAGGCCAGGGCTCCAGTGTTGAGGGCTTAGCCCCGAGGCACAGGTGTGACTTTGGGGAGGTAACTGCCTCACAAGGGCTCCCGCTAGGAATAAACGGATCCACATGTACATCTGCAGCTATTGAGAGACAGAAACTTTAGGAGTTGGGGACTTCCGGGAAGACGTATGTCACCAACACGTCTTTTTGACAGGGGATAATTTACCCTGTCCTCTTCTTTCTCATTTCTGAACTCCAGGCCGTCAGGATGCGAGAAGAGAGAAAAGTTTCTGCACTCCATAAGCCTCTCTGCCGACACAATAATCCAAACCAGACCAAATCAAACCGAGGTTTAGTGGATACAAACGCTATCGGATGGCTTTCCAGGCCCCCAGAGAGGAGATGGGAAAGGAAGACCGAAAAGCCACACATTTGTTCTGGTGTGTGTGTGTGTGTGTGTGTGTGTGTGTGTGTGTGTGTGTGTGCAGTTTAAATACCCTGTGGGAGTGGTCTTGAGCATCTCTGGGGAGGGGTCGTTGTTTGGCGGGCTTTCTCGGGGGTGGAGTCTGAACTGAGGCAACACTGGGGGTGGGGATGGGGAGTGGGCCTTGGGGAGGAGGGAGCCTCTACCCGAACATTCCAGACTCTTTGGATATATGGATGCCAGTGGTTGGAGTGAAGCCTTCACCCAATCAAACAGCTCTGGGCCCCCCCTCCGTTCACCTCTAAGAAGGTAACTTCAGGAGTTCTACCAGGCCTTGGGCTCCAGGAGGACAGCGGCTGTGTGCTGCCAGTTTCTTCTGTCACCACCTCCAGGAATACATCCAGTGATCAAGGGAGACCAAAAGACTGCAGTACCGGGCCAGAAGTCTACATCAAAGTCAGGAAACTGCCTCCTGCCTTCATCCACAGTTTTCCAAGCCATGGCTCAGCAGCATCTTTTGTAGTGAGTGTGTGTGTCTGACCGTGAGTGAAGAAGTTCCTCTCTGACCACAAAGAAAGCCAGTAGAAACACAAATGCTAAGAGGCTCCTTAGAAGGACCATGCCTTCCAGGCCAGGCACTGTTCACAGAAAAATAGAACTCCATCTTCAGGGGTGGGGAGTGATGCGGTGGAGCTTTCAAAGGGAGAGGAAAGATCTGCTCTTTCACACACACACACACACACACACACACACACACACACACACACACACACCCTGTAGTCCATTTACTAGTTCCAAAGCGAACACCCATCTGGCAAGCTGGGGGAGAAGAATGCGGTCGCCAAAGGAAACGAATAGTGTAAACTGTAAAGGAAACAGCTGAAATCAGTTTTCTGCACTACTCTTGATTAGCTATTTTCCAGTCCTAAGAGCCCGAAGCGAAGGGAACTGAAACAGCTATAAACAACGGCTGCTTTGAAATACGGCCTCTTCCCATGTCATGCAAGAGGAGTCGGACCACATGTCCTCAGTAAACATCCACACGGAGGGTCAACGGCTAGCTGGGAGCATCCTTGCTTTTCCGGCTCAGGGGGTGAAGCGCTCTGCAAAGCTCTGGCTAGCAAGGGGTGAACACGTTTCTTTCATAGAGAGCCTCCTCCTTCAGGGCATTTGCTAGTTAAACAATGGAGCTGAAGATCCTTGTGGTAGGGGTCGGGGTCTGACCTGAAGGAGAACACACAGGGTAAGTAAGTGGTGCTGAGAAGTGCCTGAGTGGGCTTCTGAGGACCGGCACTGCAGTCACGCCTACACAGGGAGAAAGACCGTGGAGGTGGGAGGCTCAAAGAGGTCCCTCTGGGAGGATCAGCTAGTATGTCCCAAGGAACCACTGTGTGCAGGCTCAATGGTGTAAGGACCTAGGTATCCCTGCTGGAAACTGAACCCAAGTGTTAAAATCTTGAGGGATTTTATGTGGGAAATTAGAGAGCAGACGTATTCTTTTCTGGGTCAGCAGAGGGAAAGAAAGAGATGTCCTTGGCAGCAAATAAAGACCAGGAAGCCAGTCCCTCAGTTTCCGGCCTGATCTGCCCCTGAAAAGAAGAGACACCCTATGTCGTTTCCCCCTCCCCCAGAGATGCTGGGTTGGCTCACTGGTTGATTAGCAGAGAGAGTGGGCAGGTGAGACTGGCTATTGGGAGTCTTCTAGCAGATTCTCATGCAACGCCGAAGGGTGACCGGGAGCTCTGAAAGAATTCAGACTTGTTCTCTACTAACAATTTATAGCCTGGGAAAATGGACCAAATTAGAAAGGTCAAGTTAGTTCTTAAAATGTACTAAAAATAGACGTAAGGAATGCAAGAAAATGAAAGGAAAATTTATGTGTATATATACTTTAACCAAGAACACAACTTTATATCGCTTCTCCCACTTTTTTTTTTTTTAAGTAAAAGACAAATTTTGTAAGATGAAGGAGAAGGGAAAGAGCACTTTCAGTTTGGAAAAGTAACGACAAACCTACAGAGTGAACTATACATCTAGACCCACAGAAGGCGCAGTTGTGGGAAAGAAGACAAACGCCCGGAAAAGACGTTATCTCCGGGCAAGCACAAAGTTAAATCGAGTTTCAGAGATAGCTGGGAACTCCTAAGTCATCTGGGGCGATGGCTTGAGAAGGGATCTTTGGTTGAAAATGTGTACTGGACCTCTCCTAAGTCTTGGAGGGTATGATTCTCAAACTTACATTCATAATTTAGCTCTGCTAACTTTGTCTCCTGATCAGATAAACAATTACCAATGGCAAGGAAAGAACGGGCAGAAGACACCGTGTGTGCACACACACTTGTGTGGAAGGGTTCCGCAACACTGTAGGAGTTGGGCAATGAGGACCAATTGGTAGTGACTACCACTGGGAGACTTTTCCTATCGCCACAGATGTGTGTCATACCGGTACAAGTCTTTGGCGACATCTTCCTCGTTGATGGCGTATCCCCGGAGGCTGTCGGTGAAGCTAAAGCCTGTGCCCACCTGAGGGGGAAAGAGAGGAAGGTAAGCATGAAGGTGCGTGTTCCCTGGGAACTTTCGACTAGACCTCACCCTGGGAGGCGGGCTTCCTGATCCCGAAAACCACACCTCTGACTTCAGATCTCTGCCATTGCTCTACGTATCCTATGTCTCATGGAGGCATCCTGCTTCCCCTGGAAAGGGAAGGATACCAGGACTGGCTCTTTGTATCTAGATGCCTACATGAAAGGTGGAGACGCCATTACTAAGCAACAACCTGTGAGATAGGGAACCCACTCCATCAGTGAAAGGCTATGTTGTTTGAGATGGGAAGGGTACCACAGTGTAGGCGAGGCTAGTCCAGAGCTTATGATGTAGTTCAGGTTGGTCTTGAACTCATTATCCTACAACCCCAGCCTCCAATAGCTGGGATTATAGGTATGTTCCACCATGCCTGGTCACTCATTTTATAAATTAAATTCTAATCTAAAAGGGGAAAGTGTATCTGTATTTTAGAAAATATACAGTAATATATTGCTTAAGCATTTGTTCTTGTTAGTCCACCATAGTGAAGATTCAGACAAACCCAGAAGGCACAGACCGTCACACACTGGAGGCATTTATACAGTAACATGTTATTCTGCTGGGCACAGCAAGAAACTTCAGCACCGTGCCAGGTATCTACATCTAAACATGGGTGATGGTTGAAAAGGTGGAGGAAAAGAGGAAAATGCAACTGACGGAAGCATCTCAGCTCCTTGATAGCCTTACAGAAACATCTTTGTGGATGTGGCCTACTGTTGACCAAAATGCCACCATGCAGTCATTGATTGTGTTATAAAAAAAAAAGGGGGGAGCCAGGTGGTGGCGCACACCTTTAATCCCAGCCCTCGGGAGGCAGAGGCAGGCAGATCTCTGTGAGTTCGAGACCAGCCTGGTCTACAAGAGCTAGTTCCAGGACAGGCTCCAAAACCACAGAGAAACCCTGTCTCGAAAACCCCAAAAAAAAAAAAANAAAAAAAAAAGAAAGAAAAAAAAAGAAAAGAAAGAAAGAAAGAAAGAAAGAAAGAAAGAAAGAAAGAAAGAAAGAAAGGGGACCAGATGCCAGGCCTGATGCTCCCTGGTGCCCCATGGTACTTACCGGATTGTCGATGTAAAGCATAGAAAAGGTAGTGGTCCAAGGGAAGTCTCTGGCAAGAACTGTCAAAATAGAAGAAAGGGCTGGGATTGTAACAAACATACCAGGCAAGGTGCTCAGGATCCCAGCAGACCCTGCCGTCCTCCCACCATCACGGGCATCCCCTCTGCCACTGTGCCACACGCTGGAAGACCAATGCCCATCATCTTTATCCGTTCTCTTCTGTACTTTTGCCCAACATGGCAGTATCTACAGCTAAGAATGCAGCTGTGGCAACAAAATCTCGTGAGAATTGACATGAGACCTGTGCCCATCTGTTCCACCCTGCGAAGGACTCCTACACCCGGGCTCTTGGATCCTCTTCCTCCTCCCCAGTGCTGAAGAGAACAACCCCACCAAAGATACCACAGTGACTCACAAACCAATTCACACTCTGAACACCAACCCAGGAAAAGCAAACTCTCTCTCCAAAGAGACAGAGATGGAGTGGGCCCTGAGACGCAGCCAGAGTTTCTGTCTCCACCCCAGCCTCACCCACAGCATCTTGCTTTCAAGGTGTCGGCTCACTTAAGTGATGGACTCATAAAGCATCCTATTCCCTCGGCTAATGAGGGATATAATTCCACCACTAGGCCCTCTCAAGAGGGCTCACCCAAATAGTAATAAATACCAACTGGTTTTGCAAGCCAAGAATGCTCGAGTCAGCAGCTGGCTTGCAGAAAGCAGCTTAGACCCTTTTAGTCACATTTGCAGGAGAAAGTAAGCCAGGCAGGACACTCACCCTGGGGGGCTCCCCCTTCAGGACAGACAGTGCCATAAAGTTGTGTTTCTACAGTCTGGAACTATTAAGCAACTCCTAGGGGTTCTTGTGTTTCTTCTGAGTTCATTTTAGAGTAGATACTGGCTGGAAGAAGGCCCATGGGAAAAGTAGTCGAAGCATCACTTACCAGTCATGTTACGTGTGATAACATAAGGCCCATGTTCTTCAAAGAGTCCGAACATGGATGAACCTCCAGGACCACCCTGAAGCCAGAGGACTACTGGGGCACTCTTGTGATCTACCTGGAGGGAACAGAGAAGCCAGTGAGCAGAAATGTACCAAGGTTGCAGAAAGCACCCAAGTGCATGAAGCCTAAGTCTTCCACATCCCTGACAATATTCCAGAATGCCTCTGGCCCCACTGTACTATATAGGTTGGTCACTTTTTCCTATTCGGGACTTACGTGTGTCCCCAAATGCTGGTGTCTTTCTGTGCGGTTGACAGCATCTTGCTGTCCTCATGGTCTGTCCCCCCAAGCATAGAACCAAGTAACTCCTGACCCTTCCCAGTTGGCTCAGTCCCTCACACAAGTACAGACATTGCCAAAGAGTGGGTGGCTGGACTCCTCCTCAGGACACTGTGAGGAGGCTGTGGTGGGAGGCCAGACTAACTTGTGGGGGTGACACCAGGAGCTGCAGTCAAGAATCTGGAGGAAGACACATGGGGACACAACCGTCCTGTCATCTAAGGTCTGACATAGGTTCCCTTGTGTGTTCTGAGCCTTCTCTGAGAGTGCTCTAGGGAACAGCCATTGTCTATAGAATAGCCTTGAATGCGGGGCTACCTCCAGACCCACTCTCAACGGTCAAGACAGTCAAGACGTAAAGTGCGGTAACTAATGCCCTTGGAGCATCCAGACACAGTAAATGTGATAGGCTGTTATAGCTGAGGAGAGAGTGTGCTGAAGGCTACAGTCGGGCTGGGCTTCTGTGGGTCACAATCAGGGGGTAAGCGACAAATGCCTACACTAAACTCTCCACACACAGGAGTTCGTTCAGTCACCAGCTGGGCGACTTAGGGAAGACGCCTAAGCGGTGTGGGCTTCACTTTCCACACCTGTAAAATGAGCTTTGGTGCCGTTATCCACATTGTGTTCTTGACTAGGGAGATGAATCACTTTCCATAAACCTGGCAAGGGGCTGTGCTCTGCGGCCAGCAAATGCTTGTTCCTGCTGCCGAGGATGAACACTAAGGATTGAGAGGCCATTCACACTCAAGGCATCTTCAAATGGAAGACTAGGAGTGTGCTCATCTTGGTGGCTTTTCTTTGATCCTTTGGCCTCCAGCATCTCAGGTCTATTTCTCACTCCTTTATCTCCCTGCCGCAAATGTTGACATGCTACGAAAAAATCAGGTCAAAGTGGAGGTGGGGGCAGGGAGAGCTTCTCTGTTGAGTCATAGTGGGAAACTCTGAAAGCAGCAGTGTGTCCAAGCTGCTGTCAGGGAGTCCTTGAACCAGGAGGCTCTGACTCTACTTTATAACAGAGCAGCTGTGGTGACCTGGCCCTCTGCTTCTTCCAGCCCCAGCTCCCTCACCTGCGCCATGGTGGTAATACAGGCCTGCTGTATGCTACCCACCCTGATCCATGCTTCCTGGATCCACCATGAGCATCGTTAGACATGTGAGTTACCTCCTCTCAGAGCCTCTGCCACTCACCAGGACCTCCACCGTCCTTGATACTTTGATTCACCCAGCAGCGGGAACAAACTCCATACAGCAAAGGGAAACCGGGAAACAGGAATGAAGTCATCCCCAATCTTCCCAGCTTTCTGGGAGTATGAGGTACCAGGGTACATGGACTTTATGATGCTCAACCCTCAGGGCCTCACTAGGCTCATGTATACCACGTGGTCTTCAAGCTTGCTTTTATATTAAAATAATGAGGAAATCTCTTTTTTAAAAAATGATTTCTTCCTTGGCTCAACCCACAGCGATTGCCATGCTCTCTGTGGCAGAGCAGGGTGGCACCCTCAGCTTTTTCCAGAAGTTTCTTTTATACTGGAGACCTGCAAGGTGACAGGGATCCTGCTTTCTTAGTCTCCTAGGCAACTAATCTCCACTCCTCTTTTTTTCTCCCCTACCTTCCTGTGACCTGGCAGGGTTAAGGTCATCTCTAGACTCTCAGAAAAATAGCCTAGTCCTGAGAGGCCACACTACAGGACAAGGCAAACAGCAATGTGCCCAACAGGGTTCTTCTGGGGCTGTGAAGCAAGGCAGCCTGCATTCTTGGAATGCTGGACTACCGAGAGCCAGCAGTACTTCAGCCTCAGCTGACCCCTCTCGGAGCCCAGCAGTCCTGGCAGCAACCTGTTCTTAAAGAAAGCCCTACCACGTGTCTTTCAACCTTAACGAGTCGAGCAGCCTGTGCGTTTGTACCATGCCTAAATTGTATGCTGGGATGTGAAGGTGTTATTTAATGCTATGTACCCTATAGTCTTTCACCGTACGGCATGCTGCTGTATGGTGAACCATGACCGTGACAGACATTACTCACTATGGCCACACTGAACTATGGCCACACTAGTGGCATGAAGTTCTTACAGATAATCATCTGTGACTTATCTATCACCTGTGAGGTGAAGCCCTTTCCCTAGGAAAGAGGAGAAGTCGACAATGGCATCCTGAACAAAACCACACTGCAAACTTGGGGGCCAAGGAAAAAAGAAACTTCTGCTAATGACTCACAGGCGGGATGGAATTCAGAACTTTAAAAACATTAATCTCGTTAAAGTTATGATTTAAGTAAGACATTTAATTCCTCCCCTGAGAACTTTAATTTTCCTCAATGCATTTTATATTTCATGTTGAGTATTGCTTTTGAAAATCTATTACATTGACTGATTTATTTATTTGCACAGCACACTCGTGGAGTTCCATGGACAAATCTTGGTAGCTGGTCCTCTCCCGCCGTGCGTGTACTGAGGGACCAAACTCACACTCTCAGGTGAGATGGTGGATGTGTTTACACGCTGAACCTTCTCAGCAGTAGAGCATATATTCTTAACTAAGGGTTTTTAAAGATCATTTTCAAGAATCCCTCTGCCCTTCCCAGCCTCACTTCCTAAAGTTGAACGTGGAGACGTCGGCAGACTTCTCTCTACACACATGCCAAGCGCATGGTCGTCTTAAGGACACTCCATACGCCATAGACACAGTAAAGCCCTAAGATCTGGCAGTTTCTGTGGTTGCTGGACCACAGGTTGTGGGCTTCACTGTACAGCAGTGAGGTATCACCATCATGCTGCCCGCATCTGGCACAGTTCCTATTCTCAGGCCGCTCTCTTGAACTGTGAGTTAGCTCCTACTCATGGCCCCCTGGGGAAGATGCACACTGGGAAAGAGTATAGATACCAGAGCCACACTGCCAGGACTGGACTTCCAACTATGCTACTTTAGAGCTGTGTGTCCCAGGGAAGATTCCGTCATATCTCTGCATCTGAGTGCCCTCTGCCTGGAATCGCGGGGGGCTAAGCATATGTGAGCAGCAGGTACAGACACAGCACTTCAGGTAGTGGCTGGTGTCTCTTTGTAAAGCGTCAGTTCTGATTGGTTTTTCTGATGGGTGAGAAGACAGCTAAGTGTAGCTGCATATATGAACAGATGGGCAGGGGAACACGAGGTTGAGGACTCAAAGGCAGGACTTTGGGGAGGTCATTCAAACGTCTTGGATCTCATAGGTGAGTAGTCCCACTGGCAGAGAGCTATCTATTTGATGACCAAGAATCACGGGTCTGAGTGCTAACTATCGCGAGAGCTGCTGTGAAGGGGAGGAGCAATGAAATGCGAAAGGCCAGAGGAGTCCTGGGTCTGCTGGACACCTAGATAGCAAAAGACAATGGCCGACATGGGGGCAAGATGGGGCCCAAGAGGGTGAGGCCTTTCACTGGTGAACAGGGAAGAACTGTGGCAGCCCGGTGTTTAGACGTGCCTGCCTTCCCACTGCTAGAGAACTGGAGACAAGAGGATTAAGAGTTAATGTTGGTCTGGACCACACAGAGAGACCCTGTCAAAATAGGAGGGGGGAGGGAAAGAGTGGAGAGAAAGAGGAGAGGGAAAGGGAAAGAAAATGCAGAGAGAAAAACCCAGGAAAGAACAAGGCCATTTTATCAGTTGCCCTCTCAATTCCTCTGGCGACCCCTGGTGGCCAGTCCCAATCTTGGCTACTCCTTCCTCAAGATTTCTTGCATAACAGCCAGCCCAGAGGAAGCACTTTTTCTATTCTGTCCAGTAGACTTTGTACACTAGCACATTCCACTGCTTACTATCAATGACTGCCAAAGACAATGATCCTGTGCCTTCATGGGTTGTCGCTTGAAAGAAGCAAAATGCATTCACTCCAAACAGGTCCTACCAGGTCCATCACTGTCCAAGTAAGAGACACATCAGCTATGCTCCTAGGCTTCCAACCATGTCTCCAACCAGACCGGACCCCAAGCTTTACAGCCATGAACAGACAATAAGACAGAGTATATATAACTTTCTATTGTCTCTTATACAAATTGCTGAAATGGAGAATCAATACATTGGGAGCAGGGGCTAACGGTACCAATTTCAATCAGTGCGGTCCTCTATAAACTGTTGTTGTTATAAACACCATGACCTGAAGCAATTTGGGTAGGAAAGCGTTTATTTCATCTTACAGTTTACAGTCCATCATTAAGGGAAATCAGGACAAGAACTCAAGGAAGGAACTGAACTGAATTGATGACCACAAGAGAAATGTCACTTACTGGCTTGTTCAGCCTGGTTTCTTGTTCTTCACAAGATCACAGGCCACGGTGGGACTGCTATAGGAAATCCTTCAGCCCGTAGCCTTTAAGTTACCTCCCCCTTTGGACATGGCCTCTTATACTATAAATGCCGATGTAAAGCATGCTCCCGCCCTCTCTTCCGGCTGCTGGATTCGGTTGCTGTTTTCCCGTTCGAGCAGAAGACTGAGATCTGTGAGTCTACCCCTAAATAAATAACCCTTTATTGTACTCAATTCCGAGCTAGTATGGAATTTCTTTTTAGCGTCTGTCTTCACGGGACCACCAGAGTGGGCTGGACTCGCCCATATCAATCATTCATTAAGAAACTACTCCACAGTCCAATCTGATGGATGCAATTCTTCAATGGATATTCCCTACTCCAAGGTGACTATTTTGTGTCAAGTTGACAAAAATCTAACCATTCCAGTGGTTATATATTACACAGAAGGTTCTACTGTGCTTGCTCTAGGGAATTTAGGCAGCTTACCAC